ACTCAGATTCGTTCCACCCGCTGCTGCCAGAAATCACTCACAACGAAACATCCGACCCCTCCATGACCTTCCAACTACCACAACACAACATGTCGGACACCTCTGACAGGAGCCCAGCTGGTGAAGGGCCCGGTGGGTCCACCTCCTCTGTACGGGGGGATCCCCGTCCTGAGCAGCTCCGAACGGAGGAGCCAAACTACTGCAGAGAATTACAGGAATCCTTCTCCCAGCTGGTCCTCTCAGAGTGTCTCCCACAGGAGTCCATTCACATGATGTCCCCCCATCCGAGGACCGGTTACTCTGTCCCGTCAAACATCAGCACTTTAGAGGCAGGAGCGTCCAAAGAGCACAAAGATTCAGTCCCAGTCGTCGATCATCAGTCAGAGATGAAGGCTGATCCTGATGAGAAGCAGAAACATTTCTCTGCTTCAGAGGCGACTTCGGTAGGTTTCCGTTCCTTTCTGCTCAGACCTTTAAAGTCGTAGGGAAGCGGCTGTTCCAACCACTGCAGTTCAGAATTCTGCCGAGTGGTGCCCGACTTTACACGAGTGAATAAAGTGAATGTGATTGGATGATTATCAAGAGGGCATGATTGTTGTGGCAGAAGGTTTGCAAGCAAGTTTAGTTGTGGCCGTTTCTTGAAAGCATCTTGCTAACCAGTTAGCAACTTAGTGCTAGTAGGTTCCCAATGGGAAATTCCATTGGGACCAAGTAGCACTAAATTGATGACATAAAAACGACACTGTCAAGGAACGCTATGGACAGAGGAAACATGCAAGAGGAGGAGAGTTTTGTGTCAGAGGTTGTGGATGAGTCTCCTCCATCATACATTTTTTATTTAGAGGAGGAAAGTGGGGATGAAGATGTTGTGGAAGAGGACGCCAGGGCGGCAGAAGCTTGGTTTGGTGTAGAAGGCTTCCCTGTGAACACTGGGACGGAAAGCAATGGGAAAGGAAATGATTCTTATTTCAACCCTTGAGTATATTAGTTATGACATATGTATTAAGATGCTATGATTGAAAAAAATTGACAGATGACCGTTGACATATTACTGGTGGAATTGAGGTTTTCAAGCTGACGTATAACTAACTGGCCTGGATAAGATAACAAAAAACCCCACAGACTTTAAGACGGGTTTTTTTTTTTTTTTTCAAATAAAAATTTTCTAACTTTTGGGACGATATCGTCTGATAAAGAGTACATTTATATTTGTTTAAGCCAGAATGATTTGACATTTAAATATGATTTCTCTACGACTTTAAACCAGAATCTCAACAGTAGATCGAAACAGTGCTTTATTTCAACTTGACTCTCTTCTAAAATGTGTTTCTGTGAATCAGGAAGTGGGCTGGGAGCGAGGCATCCTGGAGCAGTCCCAGATCACACTGGTGAGTCTGACAGACACAACGTTACAGGATCAGGACTTCATCGCCACTGATGATGAGGAAGTCCCAGAGAGCATGAAGGATGATGGGCAGGAAGGGTTGGTAACCAAGGTAACGGCTCTGAACTGATGGATCCTTTTATTCATCCTGACTTTGTAATGTTTATGCCAACCTTGTCCACCAGGGGGCAGATTGTTCACAGCTATCTGAGGATGATGGTCAGAAGCTTCCAGGTACAAACAGCTGCTGCAGCTCAGATGAATCAAAGTTGGGGAAAAAAATGATTCTGCTCCCTCCTTTTTAGCAAAAACATCAAATCTATTCCAACCTGTTTTTTATCCCCCATGTCCAGCAACAATCCTGGAGTTTCAGTGGAGTCCGAGCAGCGTCCAGCAGGACGCCTTCCAGCAGAAGCGTCAGGCCCTCATTCAGAGGTCAAACCGCAGGGTGGAGGAGATCAAAAGCAGACGGTCTGTCGGCAAATACGAACTCAAAGGAAAAGACTCTGTTAAAGCGGACAGAGTTCAGTCAGTCAGCTGTGAGGTCAAAATGATGCAAACCAACGGCGAGGTGGAGGGAAGACGGGCTGGACGGAAGCTCCACCTTCCTGCAGAAGGTATGATTTCAAACCAGTTCTTCTGAGGCTACTGGTTCATCCAGTCAGAGAAACGGACCGTTCCTCTGGATTCTGATTTCATGTTTCTCCAAATCAATTTGGAACAATCTGGATTAGTTTTCTTTACTAAAAATGTTAGAAAGATTTGAACTGTGTAACCTTTGGTTTTCTGTTCCAGTGC